ATGAGACCCTCTTACACGCATGTGTGTAGGATCCCAAAGGATCACCATTAAAAATTTGACACAGAACTCTAGAAAAGTCAATTTTCACACCCATGTGATAATTTTTTTAGAGATATGTGTCAAATTTAATTATGATTTTTTAAGGTCTTACACACATGGATGTGGGAGTATCTATGCAAATGAGTTAGGGTTTGGGGTACTTACGCAAATGAGTATTTTTTTAATGTACTTAACGTTTTTTGAAAACTCATATACTCTTGTTTTATATTACAACTTTTTTAAGTAAGGCATTTTTCATAATTAAGAAAGGTAGAATAAATATTTCTATAAAAATTAGTGACATTTATTAGTTGTTAAGAATCAGTCATTGATTCATGTTGGTGATATTACAATGATGTCATCTTTCACTATTAGTAATAAATGATTTTTTTCTATCAAGAATTTTAAGTTTACCCTTGATTAATTGCCTAAAAAAATGTTACTACAGATTGGGTTTAAGGGTATTTAGTAGCCAAAGTTGTTGAGTACATTATGATATTCATACATATGAGTATTTATTTGATGTACTAAATATTTTTTTGACACTAAATACCCTTATTCCATTTCGTAACTTTTTTTTCTACAGGTATTTTAGGCAATCAAACATTGGTAAATTCTTGATAGAAAGAAAAACATTTATTAACTATAGTGGATGATGATATCATCATGACACCACCTACATGGAGCAATACTTGCTTTTTAATCACTAATAAATACTACTACTTTCTTATATAAATATCTATCATACATCTTCTACTGACGAAAAATGTTATTACTCAAAAAATTGTGTATTACAAAATAAGGGTATACACGTGTCCAAAAAATTTCACATGAAGGGAGTTCACATATGTATGAGTACCCTAACGTAAACACCACAGACCTATTATGTCTATTGCAGTATTGCCAAATCCCCATAGTCCAAAAAAATCGAATGGTGGCGAACCTATAGGTAGAAGGAGCTTATAATCACCCTCAGATGTAAAAATAAATGGATGTAAAAATAAATTATTGGAGGTGTGTAATTGATCGATCCCAAAATTTGAAAAAATTCTTTACAAGCTTCATTGCACACCCAACTTCATGGAAGGGTGAAAAATTAATTTCATTTTTATTTTTAGTTTTTAATTTAAAAATAATATTAAAATGACATTTGAGTTTTATTTTTATAATTAGAACTGAATAAAAATAATAAAAATATTTAAATAAAAATATTGATCAAATAAATTTAGGGGTGTTTAGTTTTTTTTTATTTAAAATATTTTTTTATTCAGATATATTTATAAAAATCAACCTACACCCCAGAATTTAGAAAGATATCTTATTAAAAACAAAAAATAAAATACTGAAAATAATTTTCGGCCATTCAATATGGCCTTGTGGAATCTCAACGCTTCCACATCAAGTGTACAAGATACTTTTCCTTATTTCAATTGATTGCGCCTCAAGGTAATCACTAGATTTATGATTATTATTCTTACTCATTGATTAGTATATTACAACTTCAGAATTTTAGTAAAATGAGACTACAAATATAGGCTTCTTAATAAGTTGTATGTCTACCAATACTTCTTTTTTTTGCCATTTTACTTCTCTTAAGTGGCCTCAAAGATATGAACTCTATTTCCATTGGGGATTTTGTGATACAAGTTTGCTTCTTAACATCCCTGCCAAAGTCAAAAATCAATCCACTACTTGATTTGGATTCATATGAATCCAAATATCCAATTAGTGTCATTGTACACTTTAGGAACATCTGTTTCCCAACATAGTGTAGTTCATAATTCATGGAATTTCTTAGGTATCTCAAGATCCTATGAATCACATAGTTGATGTGTAATCAACTAAGTTTACCCATATCACCCTCCAGAGTTGATGTTGTATAATATTTTTTTTATAATATTAGAATGTGTATAAGATATTTTATTCAAAACAAAGCTTGTAGTTAGTACTTGATAGCCAAACGGGAGTGAATATGCAGTATGCTCCCCGGGGAACAGAATCTTTTGGATTTTATCAGAACACACTACAATTAGTTGGTTTAACACTTTACTAATTCACTTGATCTTACCCCAAAACGAACAATCCATCCATGTGCCCAATTTTATTGTAGGAGCAACTTTTATCTCTGCCTCTTGATAAAAATAAAATGTGATTTAAGTGGCTAAAATTATGCCAAATTTTTTAGAGGGGGCGCAATTGGAAATTAGACCTCATGAAAAGTAGTAAAAATGGAACTGGTGAAGGGAAAAAATACCTAGGGAACAATTAGAAGATCCCTTTTGTCTAATAGAAAGGGGAAACAATAATTAGGAGTTGCTTTCCTTGCAATTTTTCTAGATATTATTCTCTCATGACCAACCCATATCTTTAATCCGGGGCAAGTGACCAACCCATTTATTTAATGGAAAAGAGGACATTCACAGAGGAGGTATCCCATTAAAAGAGCTAAAAGAATAAAAAAAAGTTTCCATATGCATTGACTATAGTTCCTTCCCCAGCAATTTTTTTCAAGTCACTTTGATAAAAACCCCCTCCTCCCCTCTGCCTGCACAAAGCAAACTCTTACCAACATTTTCTCTCTGATCATCCCTTCTTCCAACTAGGAGGAGAGGAGAATCAAGAAAAAAAAAGCTTTTGCATGAGGTTTCTTCCTCAGTGTTAAAAGATGATTCAAATATGCCAAAGGCAAAATCAGCAAAAAGAAAGGCTTCAACTGAAGAAGAGACCAGGGCCTCTATCATCTCAAAAGATGGTGGGATTTCATCTCTAATGCACAATCAAGCTTCTTTTGAAGAAGAGGGCAACATGGCTCTCACTGTGGATGAATATGTTATGATCCTATTTTTGTCAACAATCTCGGTGGACCTCTCGATTCGCATTCTCTTGGCACTCCCTGTAGAATCCATATTTAGGTTCAAATGTGCGTGTAAATCATGGCAACAACTTCTCTCGTCGGTTCTCTTTGCCCAAATCCATTCTCTCTGCCCAACCCTGCCTTCAGAAGTCTTTGCTTTCATTTATGTAGATGACTACTTGGTACCCTCGAGTTACTTTTCTCTTCTCATATCAAAGAACTCGGTCCAAAAAAACATCACATCTCAGGTCCAACTGATAGAGGTTCCCTCGAGATTCAGGCGCCTGCAGTGTGTGGCTTTCAGTCATGGACTGGTGTGCTACAGGACCTGGTAAGATAAGAGGATCGTCTATGTGTGCAACCCTGCAACCCGAGAATTCATCGTCCTTCCGAGGCTCCATGGAAACACCAACATTCCGATATTAAGTTCACTTACCCGTGATGTTCTCGGGTTCTATTTTGACCCCAGGAACCAAACTGGACTTCTGGCACTCATTGTGCAATAGGCATTATATGTTCGATTCGGCAACTGGATGTTGGAAAATCATTTCTGACCTGCCAGAATCAATCTTCAACAACTCTGTCTTGTGTGTGGATGGCGTATGCTATGGACTACTCGGAAACGAGAATACCATGTTTGCATTTGACATGGAGCAAGAGGAATGTAAACTAATTCCACTGCCTTCACAGGTTTCAGAAGCAAGAACTAAACGCACTTGCAAATTGGTGGAGTGGGATGGACATGTATGCCTAGCTCATGAGTTCGGATGTCGCGATTTGTGGATGTGGAGGCTAAACAAACAGGAATGGGACAAAATCGTTGAATTGGATATCGATAGAAAGTTTGTTATGGGATTTGAAATAATTCCTCACCATCGTTCTCTCTTCATCGCTCGAATTATAAGGAAGAGCATTGAGCTCTGTCGATATGATAGCCATGGAAACAGAGAGGAAATTAACCGGAAATTTTGCTGGGAAACCACATTTAGTAGTTGTATTTACCCTAATATTGTTCCTTTTACACCAGCACTTGGTCGTTGTAATTACTTGGGTACTTAAATCACATAGGTTGGATTTGCTGGTATAAGCTTTTGCATGGATAATTTTTTTTAAATTTTATTTCGGAAATAATGAAAGGAACCTGAGATGCACGAAGAAACCTCTTATAGCCCATTAGACAGTTTGGATGAAGCATCTTTTAACGAATAATCCATTTTCTCCACCATCCATTCATGACTATGAAAAAGCATTATTTGGTGTCTATTGCTCTGCATGATCAAGGACCATATATCTCTATGTTTTGCCTCAAAACATTGCGCCACCTATTTAATATTAGAAATGTAATTATTTCAAAAAGAAGCCTCGTAATGCTTATGGATGAAAATGAACAGTCTTTTTGCTCATAAGCTCGGCAGCATCAAATGTTCTGGACGTCATTAAAAATAGATTGCACCACAACAATGTGGAAAAATGTTCTTTGCAGGTGCGATCGATTTTTCTATGTAAACCTGCAACGACTCTCGTAGAGCCATTGCGACTTTTCAGGCCAAACCACAACGGAACTGTTGTGGGTGAAACCACTGTACACTTTTTGCTTTGGGGAATTTTAAGTCATTAATCAAAACTAAAGCACAAATTTTGGTTGACAAAAAACCCAATAATTTACTATAGTTGGGAATTACATCACTCAAAAGAAATATAACATGATAACATCACCAGCATGCGACACTAATTTCTTTTTAACAACGTTTTTTTTTTCTTTTTTTTTGTACAAATATATATCCTACCCAGTGACAAAATATGTCTTATATAGGAAATAACTTTTATATGCCAGCTCGTATATGACACAATGTGCACTCAACGACTCAATTTTAATCTGGGCTGATTGAATTGCCGCAATGGCGTGTTAGTGCTTGAATTTTAACCCTTTTTTATAAAAGGCTATAAGGTTGTAACTTTAAATAATCCAATTAAGGGGCACCTTTAAATTTTATCATAACATGTATTTTTTAGAGTAAAAAATTCTTAAGATGATCTAAAAATCTATTTTCATATCTAATTATAAAATTTTAAATTCTAAAAACGGTTAAAATTAAGTAGATTTATAAACATATGCAAATCTTGAAAATGGATGTTCTAGATAATGTGTTACAAGATGCACTATTTCATATCATACAAGATCACATAGTCATTGTTGTTTGCAACCCGAGAATTTATCACCCTTCCAATGACCGAAGAATGTGTCGCGTTCCGTACAATTTCCCGCTGTTCACATGCTCTAGGATTCTATTCTGACCCCTTGGACCAGAATTTCAAGGTATTGATGGAATTCTTGAATACGAGGTGCAGTAGGACTTGTTTGTTGAATTCGGTGACCGGACATTGGAAATTGGTTCCCGACCTGCCAGAAATCCTTTTTTCAATGTGCGATTCTTGTGCGCGCGCGGAGTATGCTATGGACTCGAGCGGGATGAAGAATTGTTTGGTGTGTATCACATGTTTGCTTTTGATATGCAACAGGAAAAATATGAGCGCATTCTACTGATTGCAAAAGCCGACCCGATCTGCTTGCGTGTGCTGAGGGAGTGGGACGGGCTTGGTTCATGGGCTCGGCAACCGCAAGGTGAGGATATGGAGACTCTGTGAAGAGAAGAAGTGGGAGGCAGTCATCAAGTTGGATGGTGTTGAAATGATATAATTCCACACCACCGCTCCCTCTTCATCGCACAGATCAGTAAAAAACGCATCGAGTTTTATCCATATGATATCACCGGAAAGCACGAGAAATGGAATCGGAGTTTCACTGGGATGCCACACGCAGTGATGGCATCTTCACTAGAATGTTTCCCTTTAAACCAACATTGTACCGCTGTAATTATTTGGGCAATTTATAATAAATTGGGTGGGTTTGCTTGTCTAATGTTATGCTTTGCTGCAGTAAAATTTTTGCATGACATTAGGTATCGGCCTTAGGCTTGGGCTTGGGCTTGGGCTTGAGCTTGAGTCGTTAGTAGCTATCGTAATGTAACACTTCCTCTCATGTTCAATTCCTACTGCACAATTACGAGAAGACAACAAAGAAAAATCATACTGTATTTAAAAACCTTGTGAGAAATTGATGCCAACTAGTGCTCCTTGATGTATCTTGATGGATCGGAGTTGCCCGTTTCGACAGGCAAAATTTCAGAAATAGGGCCATTTTTCCTCCCTATGGGACATGGGGTGGGGACTTCTTTTCACACTATTTGCTCCTTGTGGTGGTAAATTTTTTTCGTATGGGACTAATTTTCAGTGACTTTACAGACGAACCAAACGTGTGTAACTATATGTTTCATATAAAAATGTTTCATGATTCAACTTCTCATACGAACCAAACGAGCCCTTAGGAGTGAAAAGCTACTTTTGTTCAACTCTTGTATTCATGGGTGATGGATTTTCGGAACCCCAGTAGATACTTCAGCCAAATGCCCTTAGCACTGCAAACAAAAAAACATTAAAATTTTAAATTTCATTAGCAAAAAAGTACATTTTTTAACTAGACTTGTTAAGACATTCAGGTGGGCCTAAACCAAAAACTCAATTTTTGGAAAAGATGGTTTTGGAGTATGTATCATAAGTTCATGACGGACAATAACAAGCCAAGTGTTGTTACTCTTATGTAGTGGAAACAACATATATAACAAATAAATTGGGAATAAAAAAAGAAAATCAACTTAAAAACTATTGGGGTTATTTTAAAATAACGGTTTTGAGAGCTATAAGGGATATAATGGGCTTCTAAATTCAGATAATGATATGAAAATTAAATTTGCAACCTATAATCAATATAACAAGTGCTGCTTTTAAAAATAACTCCATTAGTAGTCTTAAAAAAATGTGATGCCTATCACGGATAGAAATATAATGGCCACAAGAAAAACTTTATATTGCTTGCAATCTTATAATGTAAAAATAAGAAAACCCACCAGAAAAAGTTGTTGCGACAAGAAAACCCTTCAATTGATCATCTTGTAATATATTATCTATTTGGGTCGTCCATTCACAAGATTTCAGGTGTTTATGGATCTGCCCAATTTGCACTAACCCTTTGACCTTTAACATCCAAAATACAGGGTGGAAATAGCTTTTCAGGCCATCATTGGTTTCCAGCATTGAAACTTTATCTTCTATTGTAGTTTAGTTTTTTTGATTGTTTAAGGTTGATGCTTTATATAAACCCCCTATGACTTCGAGAAAAAAAAAGGAATTCTCGGATAAACACATCTCAACTCTTAGACACCAAATCTTTCAAGTCACCTAAAACTTTCAAATATTCTAAAATACAAGCAGAGTGACTGGTAGTTTGTAAAGTTGGCTGCATGTAGAGTTCATCTCAGTTTCATCCACAGTTTGTAAAAGAAATAAAGTTGAAAAAAGAAAAATACTTTCTAGTAAAAGAAATGCACCTCAATTATAGATCATACCTGTTACTAAGTTGAAATATAGGTTAAGCGAGCCCGAAAAATACGTAATTCATATGTTCTAAGCTCTAGAATTGCTTTGGTTCTCATAAACAAAAACCGCTGATCAATCAAATTTCATAACCAATAAAAAATTTACAAAAAACCTCAGAGAATCAGTTATGATTTGTAAAATTTTCCATAGTTTTGAGAGTAAAATTTGTGTTGAAAGTGGAGAAAAAAATGAATGTATAGAAACTTTTTCCAATATTTCCTAAACGAGTTGTATTAAAGGATGAAGGTGGGCAAGATTGTCTTCTTTAAGGTTATACATATCTTTAGTTTGATTGTTAATATAAACTATTTTGAGGGAAAAGTTTATATAGAGCCGAGGCTTTAAACAATCAAATTAGAGCCTACCTCAAAAATTTTACTAGAAGATGTTGTTTTGATGCCCAAATATCCTCTAATTGATCATCTCAACATCAAGATGCACGGACATGAGAAAAAAAAATAGATTCCAAGTTTTGGAAATAATGTATTTTATAACGCATTTTTGGACCGTCAATTTTCAAGTTTTCATAGATCTGCCGATCTACACTATGTTTGAAGCTTTAAACTTTATTCTATCACAAATATTTCTAGTATTGAAACTACATTTCTCGATACTATTTGAATGTAGGGTCTAATTTGATTATTTAGAGCCTACACTCTATACAAATTGCACCCCTATTTTAATATGGAAAAGTCCTTCATGAGTAAGCGGTGCAAGAGACGGGTGACTCACCGACGCCCATCTTTAAGATGGACGTTGTAAAAAAAACTAGCAAGGTTTATATGGTGTAATTTTTTTTCAAAAAAATTACAATTTAAATATAAAATTTTTTTATTTATGTTCGTGATCATCTTAATTTTGTTCATGAATACCTAAAATTTTAGATTAAAAATCTATTTCTAAGATGGTTTAAGGGGCGGTGTACATATGTATAGTATGAGTCGGCTGACTCATAGGAACCAATCCTTTTAATAAACTATCCTAAAGGATGGCATAGATACCTTAATTTTCAAATTTCAGATACTTAATCTATTCCCCCTTCAAAATGGACTCTAGACCATCTGTTTGATGGTTGATCTATGTAAGGTTTTAAGATATCAAAATACTTTGTTTTCTTCTTTGAAATTGTTTCTAAGGTGAATCAAATATGAAATGCAATGACCATATTCCTAAAACAATTCCTTGACTTTAGTTCCCATTTTTTTTTTTTTGCCCCCCTTTTTTCTAAGAGTTTGCAATGAAATGACATCGATTGTTAGCAAGTTCACAATACAATATATGAAGGAAAGTTTATTTTTCCACTTTATCTCTTTTTTTTTCACAGAAATTTTTTATTATTTACCAAAATATTGGTTTGAAATATTCTTTTTTTCTTTTAAAAAAAAAAAATGATTTATTTGATTTATTTTTTGAAAAAACCAAATAAGTTGGACTTAGCAAGTCCATAGGACAAACCAATCTTTGTTTCTCAAATTTTTATATTTGGTTTTCCTAAGAAGTTTTTCACCACAGAATCAAGGGGAAAAATATTTTTCCATATACTCTTCAATAGAAAGAGAGAAATTAGATTGTTATGCCGCAACTCCAGGA